TAGGTTTCACTGTGAACATAAACATTCAGTCTAGGACCAGCCCATGGCCTGGTGACATGGCTGGCCATGCATTTTGAGTCCAGGACCTGGTGGCTTGAAAAACATGCTGGTCTGTGTGCATGCATGCATGTGTGCCCAGGTCTTGATGGGATGGAGAAGTAGAGGAAAGGGATTGGAGTGTGACCATGTCCCATTCGCGAGTGCTTTCTCCCTCTCCCTCTATCTCTGGCAAGAACATGCACCCTCTGGCAAGTTAAAAAAGAGTAAAATAAGTTCAGTCTATAAATAAGACATATGAAGAGATTCATTTGTCAGAAAATAAAGTGTCAACCAGAAGGACACTGAGTGACCAGAGGAGGGAGGGTGTCCACTGTGAGTGGACATATGTGGGGCAGTTCTAGCAGTGGCAAAGATCAGGAGATGGAAATTCACATGGACTGTGTGGGAGACTCCGAGGGAGCAGGGAAGCAGGATGACCAGGAAAGGTGAGGACATCACCATAACAGTTACAGTAATTTCTTTTTTTAAGAAAGATTTTTGTGGGACCAGCAGTTAGTGTAATGGCTATGTTGCTGAACTCCCAGGTAGTTGACCGCGGTTCAAGTCCCAGACCCGGTGGCTTAAACTCATGTCGGGCGTGTGTGTGTGCGTGCCCAAGATCCCAAGAAGAGAATGGAGGAGAAGGGATTGTGGCATGGCCATCCCCCCTAGGGGGTGATTTCTCGCTTTCTGTCTCTCTGTCTCTCTCTGTCTTTCTGGTGAGCGCATGTGCCCTATAGCAAAAACCTCTCAAAAGAAAAGAAGAAGAAAGATTTTTTTGTTACAGGGTACGTGCATTTGTTAGAGAGACAAAAAGTGAAAAGTCACCCCCCAGGGGGATTGCACACTGTAATCCCTTCTCCTTTCTTTTCCTCTTGGGATTTTGGGCAGCACACACACAGACCTTTCAGGTCCGGGACTCAAACTGCAGTCGCCCACGTAAGAGTCAAGCACTTTAACCATGATGCCACCTGTTGCCCAACACTTACTTGGTATACTCCGGGTTGAAAAGCTGTAGGTGTATAACCTATCAAACTCCTGGAACAATTCTCTGAGGTGGATTCTATTGTCTCCACTCTACACACAAGGAAAATGAGAGGCTAAGTAATTGCCCAGGGTCATGTAGCCACCCAGGGGCAAGGCTGGGCTCTGGTTCGGGCAGGCTGACTCTCACGAGCCTTCATTATGCGGAATGTGCAAGAGCGAGCAGATGCCTGCCGTGAAGGCAGTGTGGGTAGGGGCAGCTGGGCAGGTGTGTGGAATGGCATGGCATGTCCTATGGGTCCATTAAGGGGAACTTAAGGAGGTTTGGTGAATGGATAAATGGGCAACCTGGAAGGTGCGAAGGGTATTTATGAAGCAAATCTGATGTAGGATGTAAAAAGGGAAGTCACTGGGCTTGAAGGGAGACTACCCGAGTCACAGCACATTAACCTTTGTCCTTTAACTGGCAGGATTCCCAGCAGATTTCAAATGAGGCTCAACTGGGCCTTTACCCAACTGTTCAGTAAAAGAGAACCTAGGCTTTGGGGAGGAACCTGGCATAAAGGAGAGAACAGGCTAGAACATTCTAGGGCTGCCAGCTAACTGGGAAATGTTGACGGAGGGTTTAACATGCCCTGTATATTGGGGTGGGTAGGAAAGTTGGTGGGAAATGGAACCAGGAGATGGGGTGGTGGGGTCAGATTCACTAGGATGAAATACACGGTCTATTGGTCGAGCCAGGGGGCAGTGGCAGGTGGGGTCCTGGGTGCTGTGAGTGCTTGGCAATCTTTTGGCTTGTTGCCACAGGCTAGCTTTTCTCCTCAGGCCCTCTTGGGTCCCTGTGCTGAGTGGGGTGAGCGTGTCATTAGACCATTCCACGCCTTGGCTGGTGCCTCCCTGTCCTGAAGATCACCAGGCTGCTGGGCAAACAGTGCTGCAGAGCCAGGACCCCGTGGGGCCTGGACACCACCTCAGCTGCCTCTTCTGTGGGCCTGTTATCAAACGTATTTTGCTCGGGAGATGATCATGGGGCCACCCCACACTATCAGCCCTGAGCCCCTGGGGACAAAGGTCAACACAGGCGGTCAGTGTGAGGAGACTGCAGTTCGGGAAGGGGATAGGCTGGTGCTCTGGTCACAGGAGCCAGGAAATTAGCCCAAGGCTGGCCTTGGTTAAGCCCCCATTCACAACAGACTGTTTCAGGAATAATTTGTAAGAGAGCCGGAAGTTCGGTGAATGGATAAATGGGCAGTTAACCCAGATGCTACAATTGAGGCCACACAGCAGTTCACAAAACAGAGGGGCTGCCTCCTGGGTGCAGGGTGTGTGAGCCCTGAGTATGGGCAAGGGACACCGTGGCCACTCCTTCACAGTGAGCTCTAGAGTCCCTCATGGAAGGGCAAAGGGCTTTTGGTGGTCCTGGCACAAGGGAGAGAATATACTAGAATATGTAGGGCTTTCAGCTAACTAGGAAACATTGACAAAGGGTTTGAAATGTTCTATATGTGGGGGGTGTGCTGTGAGAACTAGGACCAGGAACGGGGTGGTGAGGGTCAAATTTACTAGGCTGAGGTACAGGGCCATAAAGTTGGAGGGTATGAGGTCACAGCATGGTGCCTGAAGTGCTGGCCATGCTGGCCTTCAAACATGCAGGGACTGTCACACCACATGCCTTGGTTCCCTTGAGCACCCTTTGTGACAGTCCCTCTATGTGTGTGGACAGGCCAGGAACAGAGGGCTGACAGGCCGTGAGCTCGGCCTACACCTGCAGATGGGCTGAAGCCCACGGCAAGTGCGTACCAGGCTAAAGTGAGCCCTGGCAGCACTTCTGGCTTGTGCTCACAGCAGCACATCCTTGCCTACCAGGCCATGCTTGCTCACACGGGTCCTGGGCTGCTGCTGTGCCACTGTTCCCTCTTCCTAAGGAAGGTGTGAGCACGAGATCACATCTGCCGCTCCCCTTGCACAGTGGCCCTGCGTGAACACACACCCTGCCCTCATCACCCTCCCCCTGGTTGCCAGCTCTCTGCGTTCACTGTTCCCTGCACCCACGGTGTCCTCCTTGCTGTTCATGTCAAACCCAGCTACCTTCAAAGGCCCAGCTGCACCGTCCCGAAAGCCCCTTTGGAGAAGCACTGAGTTCTGTTCCTCAGTTCCCCAGCATGCCGTGTGCAGCCCTAGGCTTTGTCCAGCTGAATGCAGCTCCCCTTGTTTGCAGCTGCTCCCCTCCTCCGGGCACACACCCCAAGCACTTGTCTATAAGGGCTTGTTAAGCTGTCTTCTCCGGGACCCCTCACTTGTGCCCACCCAGCAGCCCACCATTACTGCTACCTCCTGGGAAAGCAACAGTTATGGAGCCCCTGCAAGCCAGGAGTGCCTCAGAATTTCTATATATACCAGCTCTGAAGCTGCATCACCTTGGGAGGTGGTGGGGACTGTTTCCTGGTGAGGAGACAAATTGGCAAGGCTCCGTGGCTTGTTCAAGGTTAGCCAGGATTTGAACTCAAATCATTCTGACTCAAGAGTGGGTGCCCTTTTCCCTTAATAAGCAAACAAAGCGCTAACAATCATTTATCATTTATTTTCACGTACATTATTTCATCGGACCCTCACAATAGCCCTGTGAGGTAGGTTGGGTTATGTGTTATTGTTATGCCCATTTCACAGACGAATAAACAGAGATGACTTGGTGAGGCAAGGGACTTGCATGAAGTCACAGTGTGTTAGTGGCTTCGCAGGTTCCATACTTTCTCTAAAGTCAAACTGCGTGAATTAGGAAGCACCAAAAAGATGGAGAAAGTGAAGTGTTGTTGAGAGGACAAAGGGCAATAGTGATTTACGAGATTCCTTTCTCGAATGTTTGGTTGTGGTCACAGTTTCTGCTGCCTGGCCTAAATTGGGTTCTCCTTGAGGGGCTTTCCCAAGAACTACTGACCTGGTGCCTAGGACAGTTGTCACAGACTCCTGGGTCCCACTGTAGTTGGGAAAAGGCCTTTGTTGCCTACAGGGCCTGGCCTTGCCCAGCCCAGTGTCTAAGCTCCCTATGCACAGGGCGTTCACAGTGGAAGGCCTTCCCTGGTCTACCTCGCAGGAGGCCTATGTCACCACGCTGCCTGAAGTAGGTCTGAGCCTCTGTCCAGTGGGAAAGACTCCCAAAGCCCTACTCACCCTAGGGATGAGTCATGATGCGCGGCTGAAGCCTGCATGGCTCATCACCCACTAGGAAGCAGTGGCTTGGGGCATCCTGGCGCTGGTCATAGCCCCGGAGACCTGTGGACTAGTTGTGACCAGACATTATGGGGGAGGCTCCTCCTTGGGAGCTGCGTCTCAGGGACACTCACTGAAAGGGCAGCGTTGTGGTTTAGACCGCTCCTGGGCCCCTCACTGCACAATGCCCTCTGAGACCCTGTCTCCTTCCCCTGGATCTCCTTAGGAGCAACAAATCTCATTTCCAACAGAAAATGATCAAAAGGCATGCGGAGCCATGGCTGGTGGGGAAGGTAGATGACGTGTGTGTGTGTGTGTGTGTGTGTGTGTGTGGGACACAAACACGGTGAGACCAT